TGGAATCTTATAGTATCTTGCTAGTCGCATCATCTGAACAAATGGAAGTAAATGAGTGAGCTCTCCTTATTTGCAGAGTAAAGTCTTATTTTACCCACTTAAAAAAGAACTTTATTTAGAGCTTATTCGGTACGGTTCAAAAGTCAATTAAAATTAATTTTTTGACCATTATTTCACTATTTCAATTGTCATTTTTGAATTCTTCTTTCACAGGTAAGATTCACTTTATCTCTAATGATAAAAAAATCAATTATCAAAATCTCTACCAAACAAGTACTTAATGTTCTCATATATGGTGAAAACCATAAGTAAGAGTTCTCCTTTCACATTAATAAGTGTACAATCTTACCCAGTACACAGTTTCTTATGAGCGAATAAGTTGTGGGGACGTGTAACTACTGATTGCCTTATTTTTCCTTTTTTTGGTCTTCATTTGTGACTTTCTTTGATCTTGGCAAACTTAGATTTTTTCAAGTTACAGTAGTTAAAAATTGTATGATATTGATCATTTTTTACCAATAATTTTAACATAGGCCAAGCATATTTTGTCCGTATTTGAGCCACATTTCTTAAAATTTCATTTTTTTTTTCAAACTTATTTTCAATTATACATTCTCCCAATAAAATAGTTTTACACGTAAACTCAAAAAAATTTCATATCTTTTAACCACACATTTTATAAAAAATCACTATTACAAATTCTATTTTCCCCAAAAAAGGGCTCAAACAAAAAACTTATTACACAAAATAGATAATCATCTTAAAATTAATTTCAGAAGAACGAGATATTAAGGCCAAAATTGATTTGATTTAACTTGAAAAATGTTGAATATGGGAATAAAAAATTGATGAAAAATGTAAAGTTAATTGATCACTTGATATAGTTCAAGTTTGACACTTGAGTTTGGGTCTCAAGGAATACAACAGTCTTTGATAGAGAGAGACTATATATAAGCAAGATTTGGCCAATGCAAGTGCTATGGGTCACGGGAGCTAGGTCCACATTTGCTTATTATGAGAGTTTTCAATATAGTTCAATTCCACTCGCTTACTTAATTTGAAATGCTACTATTATATGATATGATCGTTATCTTTGGGAAATGGGTGTCAAGTCCAATAGTGAATATTGAGGCAATATAATCAAACGAGAAAATGTCAAACTCTTACCTCGATCAAATTTATCTTTCTGCGACTCCTTTCTGCATTTGTAATTTACTTATTATTTTAGGTTAGTCTATTCATTTATATACACAATAAAATAATATATTTATTTAAACGAAATAATGCCCTGTAGCGAGGCTCTTTTATATTGAATTTCATTTCAATATGTACTAGATAAACACCAAACCTCCATTGATGTAGTAAGGCTTGCTTTAAGCGACTAAAGTTATATTTAGTGAGTAAGAATATTGAGATATGAATTTAACATCTTTGGGTGGATTTAAATTGTGTCTCCAAAAAATTATTTCAAGACAACTTCTGTTAGTTACGTGTCAAAATTAATTGTTTGAATATCATTTCAACCTCACTCAAATCGAGTTTAGAATCTCACGTGACTTTATGCCTAGAAAAAAGATAACTTACAAAAATACCTTTAAAATCAGAGACTTTTCTGAAAAGTCATATGAAATTTTTTTTGAAAATAAAAATATTATAAAAAATAAAGTTAGACTTTTTAACTAAAAAATAACATACAATGTCAATATCGCTTTTTCTATCATGAAAGCTTAATTCACGTTTTCATTTTTCATTTGTCATGTATGAAAATCAAAACGTAATTAGTTGGTGGATGGTGTAAAGGAATGTTTTATTTGGTGAATTGGATGAAGCGAAATCCTTCAATTTTATTGTACAAGATTGTTCGCTTTGTTTTTTTTTTTTTTTTTGATAGGTAAATATAAAATCATATCGATCAAAATTCATGTACAAGTATTTTGAACATACCCTGGCAAAACAAAATCATAAGATGAACAATAAGATCTAATAACCCAAAGCTAGAGACTAAAAAATGTATCAAAACATGAGGATACAACAAAAACATTACTTTGTATACAAATATATTGACCTGTCTCATTATACTATCGGAGTTTGGCTTAAAATCTTTCCATTTCTTGTCGTCCAAATGTGGTAAATGATGCTCGCTAGTACAATTCTCTTATCTTTGCTTTGCCAAGAAGTCTCACAGACCTCATTTTTAATCTACTTCAATGCACTAGGTAACTTAATCATAGACCATCTAATCCCATCCATTGTCGAATCTGCCCAAATGTCGACGCACTGAACGAACAGACCGAAAACAAGTGCTGGCCGGATTCAATAGTTTGTCCACTAAAAATGCAATTTCTATCAATGTCTTAGTGCCTTAATTTATCCTTGGTAAGTAGCTTCGACTGGACACTTAACTAAAGAATATATGAATGTTTAGGTGTGATGAATAACTTCTGTTGACCTAAAAAAAGTGCCAACATGTGTCGATACTAGATGAAGTCCATGTAGACAAATTCAGCTAAATCTTGAACAAATATTCAGTCGAAGATTGGGATATTATCAATGCATACGCATGTATATAGGTGAGACGTTCACGATTGAAGGCAATTTAAGAAATAAAAGAATGATTCAATTGAGCACTCATAGAGGAAAAGTAACATATACTTGCACATCTTTTTTCATCATTTCTAATGTTATAAAAGATGCTATTTATAGCGTCCACGTCGACATGGTCATTGTTGGTCAGATTCACGTGGCTCTATCTGCTCGATCAAAGCATCATATTATCTCATCTCACATTAATTATATTGACAAATACATTTGACATAGGGACGGCCGTTCTACACTCCTAAGCTGACATATCTGACCTCTATGTAATGCAAACGTCACATCAGTGATTTCTAAAGATAAACTTGTCAGACCCACTATAGAAAGCCTTGGGTGTGAAGGAGTTCGGCTAAAGGGGCGAGAGCACTTCAGCTGTGGAGCTTGGATGGAAGAAGTGCCTCGACTAGAAGGCAATTCTTGCTCTCTTCTTTATTGTCTGCCACGCATGTGAACATTGCACCTCCACGTGGCCTCCATTATATGTTTCACATACAACTAATAACAATAGTCCTCCAAGTCTATGTATGATCATTTATGTAATACATAGAGTTTGCATTGCATTGAAAAAATTTTGGTAGCAGTATTTTTTAATCTCATAACAATATAGTCCTCCAAGTCTAATTTGTGAATATTTATATGGAAATTAGAGTTTGAGAATTGAGTATAACGGGTAACTGAGTTCCTGCCGAGGTTGTTAACTGAGTGATAGCATTCTACTTCCGAGGTTGTGCTTACATGTAATTGATTGTGCTGAAGTTGTAAAAAGTAAGACAGGAGTGATGTACTTCATCAATTTGGATGAGGTTGTTGCCTACGAATTTGAGGAGGTCTCACTAGTTCAGCGTTGGTGAGCACAAGGCGTTGTCAGATACCGTGCTGAAATTATCTTGAAAAATATTCAAGACTAATCACGAATAAACAAGGTGATTTGGGAATGCCTTGTCTAAGTCCCATTTTACCTTTAATAAGACCATATAAGCTTCCATTAAGAGCAACAGAGTAGGAGGGCATAAAGAAACATACAATAACCCACAGAATTGAAAGTCCAAGAATAACTAAACAAGAGGAGGATGAATTGGTTATTTAAAACTTTTTCGAAAATAGTCACAATCTTAAACAAACAACAAGTAAATTAATCACGCAGGTAAGACAGCACAAATAAGAAAGTAATGAGTAAAAGGGAAGAGATGCACAAACGATGTAATTATGGAACTTCGATCTAATCAACGATCTATGTCCCTGTTACCAAGCTCTTCGTCACGAGTAAGACCTTTTTCACTATTGTTGATTGACTTATGGTGCAATTCAATCCTTACAACACTTCCAGTGACTTACAATCAAGTAGCACCGATCCTTTTACAAAGTTGAAATTTTCAAGACTTCAACACAATCCACAATCAAATAAAGAAATAATATTACAAGTAAAAGTTTCTCTCTTAATAAATGATATGATCAACTAAGTATCAAGAGAGATAGGCTAGCGCTTCAATAAATAGTGATGAGCACAGCTCAAGTGTTAGTTCGTGAAAAACTTTAATGAGATAAAATATTTTCCTAAATTTGATCACTTAAAAAGTTTATCGAGAAATAAATATTTTGATCTTATAAAGATTGAAAATAAAGTAATTGAGATCAATAAAAGCTTTACTTAAATGCTCAAGAAGGTTGCTGTAAAATGAGGAAGAAAAGTGGAATTTATAGCACTCAAACAAGTAGAAAATATGTCTATGTGGACGTGTGATCTAGACATCCGATTGGAGTCCGGATGATAAAAAACTAATGGTTTGAGTTAATAGTTGAACGATCGAAAAAGTGACCGTTGGTCATACGGATGTCCGAATCACCATCCGGACGTCCAGATGGGCAAAAATGCCCCCAGACATTTTTCTTCTTGATAAAATTGATCGATGTAGGTTCTTGAAGGACTTTCGCATTTATTTCGTAAATATAAGTGTTTTTGAAAATATTTGATCATTGAGTCAAAATACTTATATTTTAAAAATTAAATTTTATGCAAATATTCTTTTGTGACGTGAAT